GGGGGAGGTGGCTTTTGAGCCGAATCTTGAAAGGTGAATAGAGGTCCTTCAAGCAAAGGAAACAGGATACGCAAAGGACTCCAAACAACCTGCTATTTCCTGGGCACTGCATGTAGTTGAGTGTGGCTAGTACTGAGGGTCCTTGTCAGGGACTGGTGAAATAGAAGGCTTGTCGGGGTATGAAGGGGCTGATTGGCCTTTAATACCAGATATTGTTAATGACCACTACAACCACTTAACTTTGGGTCACCTACTGGGTGCACAGCCCTTGACTCACTGTGTCTTATACAGTGCTCCCCACAATCCTGTGAGTTTTGCACCTAATTAGAATGAAGAACAAAGGTCTGGAACATAGGTATCTGTGCCTCCTGGGAAGAACAGTGCTCTGAAAGAAATAGCCAGGGTGCTGATACAGAGTGGTGACAGTGAAGAGGGCTACTACTTACATGGGGTAACTCAGGCAAGCTCCTCTAAGGAGGAAAAGGAACCAATTCTAGGAAGAGCAAGGAGAAAAGAGCTGCAGATAGAGAACTGCAGACGAACCCTGCAGTGGGAATACACTAGAGTGGCTGGAGCCTAGCCAATGACAGGGACCATAGATGGACCAGGGCTTTGGTAAGGTATGAGGGATGAGACCGTATTATGTGGCTTTTTGGGTTCAAATTGCACTGACAGTTAACAGAGTGAAAACAGCAACTGACACCTATAGTGTGCTCTGCTGGATGCTTTACAATCTTTCCAGCAACCCCATAAAATGAATAAGCAGGGAAACTGAGGCACAGAAAGGTTAAGTGATTTGCCCAAGGGCTTACAAGTGGCAAAGCTGAGTTCCAGTGCAAGAGCCTCTTAAAAAAAAAAAAAAAAAACACTTAAGGAAAAACTTTAAAAAGCTATTTTATGAAATCTGTTGTGTGAAGCCTATTCTCAAGATCCAGAACCAGTAACTCCCCGCTAGTTAACGTGTGAAGCACCCTGTCTGCATGATCTCATGTAATATTCCCCAAACCTGGGGCAGGATCTGGCTTCTTATTATGCAATATGACAATGGAGAAAACTCGGGCAGCACTTGAGAATCACCAAGAAAGTGTTAAAAAAAAAAAAATTCCTGAGCCCCATGCAGAGGTTTAGATTTAATTGTTGTGGGGTGGCTTACACCATCCATGTCTTTTTAAAATCTCCCAGTCTATTTTCAGGTCCAGTCTAGGTTGAGAATCATTGCCGGCTTCGCGCCTGGGCTTTTGATTGGCGCGCGCCTGTGCGCGCGCGCGCCTACCGGAGCGCGACACCGTCTTCTGCGCGCCTGCGTGGCGGGGGCGAGCACACTGAAGTCTTGTGCGCCTGCGTGCACCGCCATTTCCTGCATCGGGGAGCTCGGGTCGCAGTGCCTATCGGGAAATACGACCATGCACAAAGCGAAATGGCTGCCCAGGGCTAGAAAGGCCTGTGTAGCTTCTCCTTCTGCCGTGCTGGTTCCGGCCGCTAGATGGCGCGCGAGGATCACAAATGGGCCGGGTCGTCCGTCTGGGGCCGCCCTGGGCTCTCACTGTCCTTGCATAGATGGCCTGGTGGGCGCTGGTGGTGTCACCGACCTTGGGGTTGCAGCAGGCCCCTCTGACCCGTGTGGACCATCGCCGCAGTCCAGGCAGAGGCGGGAGGGAGGGAGCGGGCTGGGTGCCCGCAAGGAGCCGAAAGGGGCTACTGTGGCCCCAGCCTGTTTGGCAGGGTGCCCTGGCCTTGGTCGTCTCTGGCCTCTGGCCACTGATCTTCAGAGCTGCCCGGGGGCAGGGGCTGTGGACTCACGGGGAGGGCTGCCAATCCTCCATCCATGAGGGACCACCTGGGTGGATCTGCCTGGACAGGGCTCTGGGGCCCTGGAGAGGTGGCTTAATTCCCAAGAGTTGTGTGAGGAAGGGTGATGGGGGTGGGCAAGGAGATCCTGCAGAGCAGTCAAACTGTCCCAAAACTTGAGGAACTCTTCCCTATTCTAACTTAGTCTTGCTTCATTACATGTGCAGGAAGAGTCAGTATAGTATGGTGATCAAGAGCATTTATTCCTGTGCATGGGCTCACACTGAAGCTTTGTCATTTACTCCCTATGTGGCCTTGGATATCTTTCCCATCTCCTCTTCTAACTGAATCCAAGCTCGTTCTGCTTACTGCAGGACAGGCCAGTAAGTGGAGAGACAAGATGTTAGGGTAAGGAAAGCAACTTTATCCAGAAAGCCAGCAAACCAAGGAGATGGTAGACTGTTATCCTAAGGAACTACCTCCTCTTGGCATGAAATTTGAGCTTCATAAAAAAATCAAAAGAAAGTTAGTTAAAGGGAGGAAGCAGGAGGGGGTGGAATTAAAAGGTGACTGACATCTGTAGACATCCCAGGAAGGTTGTGTAACTTCTCTGTCCTTAGTCAGTTTATCTTTGTTTACAGGAATCTGGTCATGTTGTTCCTGTAAATCTTAAACATAACATAGTCATTTGTGTGCATACTTACTTATCTCCTTGGGTGAGGTAAGTTTTGGGTAAAGAGTGGTCTTTGCAAGTCTTAGCTGTAGCATGCCTACGTGCATGGCTAAACTAGAAGTTTCTAAGCTATAGGTCACAGTAGCAAGGAAAATAGAAGCGATATGGAGTCAAACATGCTCAGTTTGTTCCTATTACACTCTGTGTTTGAATTTCCTTACCTATAGAATAGTGGTAATAATAGTTCCCACCACACAGGGTTGTTGTGAGGATTAAGTGAGTTTGTTTGTATAAAGCATGTAGGACATTCCCTGGCACAAAGTACTATGTCAGACTCTCCTTTTATAAAAACTTCAAGCTAAATAAAGCAGCCCCAAAGGAATACCTCCTTTTACCAGAACACTGGGAAAGTTGCTGTTCCCCTCTACAGTTTTATTGGCCTGATTTCTTTTAATAAGACACAGAGTAGTTCATCCCCTCCCCACCAAACTTTGGGTATTTTTACATCTAAAACATAGAGTTTTCCTCTTTGTTATGTTGCAAGCCTGGGCTTTCCACATTTATGTTCTTTCTGCATGAGGAACAGGTAAACTTTAGGCACATGTATTCACTGTGGACAACCATTATCAACCAGCAGAGGAGTCTTTTGGAGGTAGTGTAAGAGTGGAAGGGGGTGTTATCTTCCATGTGGGAGTGTGATTGTGTCCAGAATAGACAGTAGCTGTATTGGGCTACTGAATCTTTGATCTAGTTACAGCCAGAAGTATTACTTTGCCTATCTCTAAACACTTGACTTACAGACAATTCATTAGAGGCATGGGAGACCTCAGGGGTATTACATTGCTCAGCAAGACTTCCTGTGACTAAGATTTCCTTTTTATAGGTCAGATGGATTACACCTCCTATAATTGTAGTGACTTTGTTCTGAGGCCCAGGGCAAAGGAACCTTATTCATCCACTTGTCCTTGTGTTGCAGTGGACCCCCAAATTACTCTTTTCAGAGAATCTTGACTTGATGCACAAATTGATGAGGACAATCTCTGTTACCGTAATTCTATAAAGGACAGGAGATGGGACAGGATTCTGATTAAGTCCATGGCAAAGCTAGTTCAGGGCTTACAGAGGCAGGAAACAAGCTCTTTAGGCTTTCTATGTTTGTCTTTGGCTCAAGCATGTATGTCACATGTAGGGTTGGGGTGGGTGTGTCAGGGTATCCTGCTGGCTAAGGGACTGGCATTATCTGAGCAGACCACTTTTGGTATCTGGCTGGGCTGCAGCAGACCATCAGGGTAGAAGCAGCACAGAGAGGGATAACACCCACTTGCCTGCGCATTCGCCTGGGCAGCTGGTAGTGGTAATAAGCTTATTATCCCTGCTAGGGTACTTTGGTTCATGTCACTTGAGGCCGAAAAATCGCTTTGCTTTCAGGGCATACTCCAAAAACTATGGTCACTGCTCCACTTGTTATTTCAGCTTGAAGACAGGGAGCATACCTATTATGGGATTAACTTCTATGAATAAAAAGTCCCAGGGCTAGAGGTAACTGGTAGTGTGATCTTCTTATCCCAGGGTAGCCCCGCCAGTGATTGGAAGCATGCTGCTGATGTTGGGAGGCTTGAGTTCAGGGTTAAGCCAGGATCCGGGTGATGAACTAGATTTTTATTTTCTAGAAGGCTGGCTTAAGCTCTCAATAACCCGACTCAGTGTCCTTGGCCTAGTGGGCATATAACATCTTTGAGGCCTCCAGGTAGCAGCACCATCACATATAGAGGTCATGGGGAAGGCACCAGGAGAAAGAATAAGGCCCTTGGAAGCACCTCAGATGGGGATGGTGATGGGAAAGGTGTTCAAGTGTAGGTGTGGCATGAGGCCAGGGAGGAAGATCTCCCAAAGAGCTTGATGTGTGGGATAGCTGAGAAGCCACTTTCTCCTTGCCAGATTCAGGGGATGGTAAAAGCATCAGAGGTTCAGGCTTTCTCTAGTATGAGTGGGGACTGCTTTTGTCAGTGGGAGGGGGAGCAGTGGTACTGGGATTCTCCCAAAGACGAGAAAGACTGGTCTCCGTGTGGTGGGGGCCATGCTGGGCTCTTCTCTTCCCCATCTTCTGGAAGAGGAGCCCACTATGGCCACAGGAGGTAACATCAGCAGGCAGTGGGTAAAGAAGGACTGGTCCCAAAGCACTTGCTCCATAAGGATATTTATTCTTCCTCAGCACCTTGCCTGGTTCTGAAGAGAAGAATGTGGCTGCCAAGGTGGGAGAGACCTTGCAGGAGA